AGTGGCATGACATTCCCGGCAGAACATCGTTATGGGCTGTTCACGTAGGCCCAATGTGGGCTCCACTGGAGGAGCCCTCGTGGACTACCGACCTAGGCTCCCTGTGGGCCGAACAAGGGTGACCCATGAGTGCTGCCCAGATATGCCTCCTGTAAACCCCACGAAGGGGGCCCCGTGTGGGCTGCCCGCCTGGGCCCCTGTGCGCCCTACAAGGATGTCCCTCAGATATAAAATGGATGTGAGCGGTACGGAGCGGTTCAAGTCATCTCTTCAGACACTGGTGCTGAAACCCGGAAAATATTGAAGGACCGCTCCATCTGCACCACTATAACCAACATCCATGGACCGTATGAAGAGAATGCGCGGTGTCACCCGTTCGGCCCTTACCCGCACCCTCAACGCACTGTCCGATCTACTGCGAGGCACCGATCCCGACTTCACCGACCAGCAAGTACACCTCGTTTTCCTTCTCCAAAAAGAAGCGCAGCCGAAAGATTTAGACAAGGAGATCAAGGACCTGGTAGATGACGAGGACCTGGAGAACGAGGTTGTTGGCACGCTCGAGTCCAACATGAACATCAGTCACACCGGCACCCGAGTTCGTTGAGTTCTAGCTCGAAATCGCATCGCCAGCAGTCCATCCTAAGTATCAGACAACGGAACAGCCCTGGGTGACCGGGATCAAGTTTATTCCAAAACAGGAGGTCTGGCCCACGCACCCGCTCGCCTTACACGACGTACCGTCGCTGTCCTGAAGTTACAGATACCCTTCTTTTCGGGGAACCTGTGGGACTGCAAGGCTTTTGGGACCACTTCCGAGCGACGATTAACGACGAGGTCGACCTTCCACGTATCAAGGAATTACAATATCTGCAGACGTGTTTAACCGGGCCGGCAAAACAAGCAATCGAGTGGGTCAGGCTCTCGGACGAAGGGTGCAACCTCGCCATAAAGGCTCTTATCGAACGATTTGGACGGCGCAGCATTCTTTTAGACGAACGCATCTATCAATTACTGTCGTTGCCAACAACATCGCACAGCTGCGACATTTGTATGATTCAATACAGTACCGCACAAGCTGCCTTAATATTTGGGTGTTCCACCGACTCAATACGGGATTGTTCTCAAGCGTGTCCTCGTGAGATAGATCCCTAACGACCTTGTTGTTCTGTTGAGGCGGAACATGAAGAAAAGCAGTCACCGACCGGAGCAGGTGATATGCACATCGCTATTGGCGTCCCAGGTACAGCAGAAATTTCGGCCATCTGGAGGTTTGTTCGGATCTAAAAGGAGAGTCGCGAAGAGCGTCAAGGGGGACGTCAGTAGTCCTCACCTTACTACCCACAAGAGAACCGAAGGGGAGCACGCCCTTCAATCACCTAGCACAGTCTTCCGGTGGCTCATTGCCCTCCAGACTGCATCGGTCGCACCGGAGCCCGGATCATGCCCACTTTGTACCGACATCGGACACCAATTGCAGGACTGCAATACCAACATATCTTCCGACACGAAACTATACCGACTGAGAGCTGTGAGGGGTTGTTTCAGATGGGCCAAGTACAACCACTTAGCCCGCAATTGCCGTACGTTGATACGGTTAGTATCCGGTACCCACAGAGGACGCCATATCACCATCCTCTGCGACTAATGGCGCTTCCCTGAAGACGAGTCTTGACTGAGCTTCACTGGTGTCAGTGAATCACGTACAGACAAGAACCGTGGTATTCCAAACAACGAGACCACTTCTCCAACTACCAGCACGGGAGTGTGTTCGGTTTTGCTTCAAACCGCGAAGGCCTGGGCTACAGGCACCACTACCAGCCCACTCGTAAGGCTTCTTCCGAACACCGGAAGCCAGCGAACATTTATAAAACGAGAGTACTCGGAGAGGCTTCAGTGTCCAGTTCTCGGTACCGAACAGCTCATATTCATCTACATAATCAGAAGCACTTAACGCCACACAAATTATCCCTGCCGCCGTGTCAAACTGACACTACAGAGCCAATAGAGCACAAGCAAGGTTACCGCGGAGGCGTTTAAAGTGTCAGACCTACGTACTGTAGAGACACCGCCTTTCGACAGCGATATCTTAAGTCAGCCACATTCTGACGGCCTGATTGTGGCTGACGCCGCCCCTCCCCCTAGTCTACAAAAAGACACAGAGGTCAGTGTACCTATCAGCTAAGACGTCTAGTGTAAGGTAGAAGGTGGACAGATTCGCCGTCTTAGTGAGCATCTGACAGCAGTACATACCATTTTTCGTTGAATGGTACAGGGGCGCTACATGTGCCCAACGGGCGGCTAAAGTAACACCCCCGCCGTTTTAACACACAGCGGTCAAAGAATGGCGGCTGTTTCGGGGCGTTGAAATCGTAAAGCAAACGTGTCGTCGTTGTCCCAAGGTTGGCATCCAATGAACGGTGTCGGCACAAACACTAAGGCACCTGCTTCGGCGGCTCGAAGCTCCAGCAATTCGTCGTCGCCGAAACCCCTGATCAATGGACGTTCCAAATCTTCGTCGGATGGGACTGAGAATGGCAGATAAACTCGTGGACGTACGCCCAACAGTTCGGCCACGGCTTCGGCTAGAGTTACGACGGACAAACTGCGACAGGAAGCCAGTACAGAGAAGTTACGTCATGAGGCCACCGCCCTCAAAAACAAAGTGGTGCAGTTTCGCGTGGAAAATCGGAGCCTGAAGACCAAGGGGAAGCGGCTGTAAGAGGAGTGCCTCCGGAAAACCCGACAGGTCGACAAGCTCGCCCTGCTCTGCAAGGAAACAACCGCCGTGGCGCAGGACAAGAAGGAAGACGACATTCTAAAGCGAAAGTGCATGAAGCTAGAGGTGCATTTGTGTGAGCAGGAAGACAACTCCTGGAAACTCCAGAGTTCACAGAAGGACCTGTCAAAGGCCACGGACAAGCCGCAGCCCCCCTGAAGCCGTCTGTCATTAAGTTCATCCGGAGAAACAAGCTCAGAACTGATCAAGCTGCGTGAGCATATGGAAAGGTTCGGTCAAGACAACCGTCCTCTTGCACTGCAGGTCAAGGGGAAAGACCATGAGATTCGGGGACTGAAATCGCAGGCCAATCCGCAATCGAGCACATCGAGGACAGCCACAGCCAGCCATAGCCTGCGTGCGGCCAGCTCGGGCCGAGTCAAGGCTACGAGCGAAGCCACGAGGGTGCTTGTCGTAAAACGTTCAGACACCTTCAGCGTGAGCAGAAGCCAAAGGTCGGCCCTCAGTAATAGGTTGTCATCTCCAACTTTGCTTGACGGGAAGCAGACGGAAGTTGTTAAGAAGCGGAAGGATGAGCATTAAACGGCTATTGCTTTTGTTGTTTCAGGAGATTCTGCTTGTTACGCTATAACAGCTCATGCAAGCGCGAGAAGTCTTCTAGGAAGTCATTTGGGGTGTGAGAATTTCTAGATTCTTGTTGATTAATTGTGCATGCATCACATTCAGATGCCTCATCCTCAAGATTGAATATAAAAAGGGATTATTAAAACCAAATCAAAAATAAAAGTGAACCAAAACATTAACTAAATGCACTATAAAACCCAGAACACACTCCACTTCCGGGGCAAGCATCGAACTTCCAGTGGCTTCACTGGCGCCCGACTGGGAACGCGGCTAAGCGCCATCCATCCCCTTCCAGTAGGGATCAGTGATCACAAACGCTTCCCATGGTGTGCTATGGACCCTCTTTTCAGTCTAGGCTCTCTATGTTATGCTCGTGGTTCAGAGCGAGCTGCGTTCCCGCAGAAGAGAAAAAAAAGGTGACAGTAGGACACAGTCTCAAACTGAGCTAATGCGCTAAATAGGGGGGCGAGAAAAAACAATTCATCAGCAAATTGTGCTCGTGCCGGGCACGCACATGACCATTACCCTAACCAGCTTTAGCAGTAATTTAGCCACCTTGAACAACTAGGGGGGCGAATCTAATCTATATTATGACCATCAGGGGACAGCGCTCCCCGTAGGCAGGCTCCAGGTGACGTGGTCGTAATTATAGAGGAAATCGTGCTTTAAGTTAGTGATATTTTCGGTCTAGTTCGTGCTCACGAACATCCTTACACATCGTCTGCTGAAAGTTGAGGCGTAATCAAGCGCCTTGGACACTGTTTGGACCACCGCTCGTTTGAGGGCGAATGCCTGTCAAGCACTCACTTTCGGGACAAGCCGCTTACTTCCTGTGGCGTCATACCTGTTTGCTCAACGCTCCATCCAGCCCTCTCTCGTGTAGATCAATGTTTGCGATTGAATGGCGGGCACTTCCTGCGACGATTGGGCGCTGCGGTTGCGCGTGGCGAGGGGGAAAGTAGGAGGAAAGACGCAGACGTTTGCAGATGATCAACGCTTTCGTCACCTCCTCGCTGCTTGTATTGAGAATGCAGCCCATGAACCGCAAGGACCCGATCGAGCAGTTGGAAACTCTCTCTGTAATGCAGGCTCTTTAGCAGAGCGGAGGAGATCTCCCTCCATTTCTCGGCTTGAATGCAATCCAGCACGGTCTCTAGGCGAGCGCTTTGGTACACGCGTGTAACGTGATCGTAAGTAGGGGAGTTATTCACTGGGCACCATGTTTGAGGCCACTGTGTAGAGCGCATGCTCAAACCGAGCTCACAATATTAGGCTGCTATGAGCGACAACCTTGATGGTGTCTCATCCACGTTGCCAATTAATTGTAGAAACTCGCTATCAGCCTCCGGTCAGCAGTCGTGCACACAGCTATGGCCGCCAGTAAATACTCCCTATGTAGGAGTCTCAAATGAAGGTAGACAGATGTGTACGACATATTCTTAAGCATTTCAAACGCCGCTCACCAAATATTGTGGAAAATTTACACTTCGCAAACTTTGGTTGCCGCACATTCTGCTCAAATTGTTAGTACTACTCATATATTATAATGTCTTCGCGAAAACAAGGCGAGGGTTTTAAAAGCACAAATTTGTTTGCACAGAGTTTAAAGGGTAATACAAATACGCAGGAAACATGATTTGCAGACACGCCGCACATTGTTTATTGAAACAACCTATCGCAGAAAATCGGGCGTTTCACTGGCGGTTGCGTTTTGGCTAATGTCTGATTTATTCGTGTCTCACGTCTCTGAAACGTTTCCTTCATTTTCGTCCTCATCTCCTGTCGGTTCCCCTTCTTCTTTTCCTTCTCCTTTTCCCTCATCTCCTTGCGTTTCCCCTTCATCTGTCTCTTCGTTTTTCTCATCATTTTTCTCTTCCTCTTCGTTTTTCTCCTCCTTTTCCTCTTCCTCTTCTTTTTTCTCATTTTCTTTTTCTTCCTCCTCATTTGGCACTTTCCCTGGCTTCTCTGTTCCGTTCTCGTCATCGTCTGCAGAATCTTTTGGATAGCGGCATCCCTCTTCTGTGCACTTGCTTACTTTGCCGGCGTACTGCAGAAACAAAAAGTAAAATTAAACACGTAATTTTTTGCTGCACTTCATAACGTAGCGCCTTTGAATTTGTTACCAAAGACAAACTAAAAGACATGGCTCTAGAAAAAAAAAAATATCCGTACATCCAATTTAATGATATCCAACGATTTCTCGGTGACCACGGCAACCAATCTAACTGGCTGTCAAGTATGCAAGGTATTTTCGAAACAGAAGATATGTTTTAAAAGTAACTTAAATTTAAAAATGTAGGTTACCTTGTGGAAAATATTATATTTCTAAATGTTCACCTTCAACCGAATTCCAGTCAGATATCTGTAGATCAATGTGAAGCTAGGCCATGACAGGTGATAAACTTGTGTTTGTTTGTCTTATTAAAAGCTACATAGTTTATATCAGAGTTTAAAGGGTGCCGTATTAACCCTGCATTCATAAGACATGTCGGACAATAAATGAGGGGACAAACACCTCCATACCTTCTCTATATGACTAATCCCTGTAAATTAACCTTTTACAATAAAACATGTGTAAAGCTGCAGTAACAGTTTTAATTCATTTGTCACAGGCCAAATGACTTGAAATTGTTTGGGACATACCAACGGGCTACGAGATATTCGCAGATCGGTGTTTGCGTTTCTAAAGCTCGTTGCCATAACCGGACTTATAAAGAACGCTGGAACTTCCGCTCATAGTTCAATAAATATTTAATAATTATATTCGTTTCTTTGTAGTGCATTAATAAAACTGATGCTTCCTTAATGGTGCACGAACAATGAAATTATAATAAGCATTACAAACTGCAGCTCCGACGCTTTTTTTACGTCCAACTTTGAAGCCATTGAGAAAAGCGCGAACGTTTATAGTTACTGTTTATAGTTAATAATAATTACTTCATTCAAAACTGGAAGGGAAAAAGACACAACTAAACCATTAATTTAAGAATTTAGGAACACGACTGGAGGTATTTAGCTAGCGTACGATGTTGCCCCTAACCGCATGTAATATTAGCCGATACCACAAAGCACGCGTACCTTTAAATGCAACCAAGCTGTTTTAGAAAAACAAAACAAACAAACATTAGTAGGAATTAAACTTAAGCAACCTACATACTTGACAAAATAAGGTTAGCTGAAATCGCCGAGCTCAAAAAGGATTGAAAATAATGTCCAGTGTCTTCCATTCATTTTAATCACTCACCTAATTGGTTGCCGTGTACTGCAGATTTACTAAAACCTACCATGCACTTGGTGCCAACTGGATATTTCTTTTCATCGTAGGAGTACCCGTCCTTGTAGGGTTTGCAAAAGTAATTGCAGTGTTCCACCGTCTCTCCGTTCTTGAACTAAAAATAATAATATATATATAAAATACTTAGGAATAGCTTTGTATTTGTAAATGTATGCTGCGCAACACTTTTAGCTCAATTGCGGGGCAGGTATTCTAGCCGGTGCTTTTCTCTTAGAGGCCCACGCAACGACGTTTTATATTGATTTTTTATTTGCACCCAACCTGAGCGCAGTTAACGCAGTAACTTAGTGAACTTTTTTCTTTTCCCGGAACTCACTTTAATTTAAAAGTTATAGGCAAATTAAAATTACAATACACTCCAAAAATATCCTTCTTCACGACGTCCTTGCACCTCTGTTCCCACGTTTCCCGTGCCAGAGGATTCCCTTTGCCGCGATGACTGAGGAATGTGGGGAGGGTGGGGAAGACGGGGAAGACGGGGAAAGGAAGTGAGGCCGAAGAGCGTGAGCTGTCCGGGAACGGGCAGTTCTATCTCCTCAGCTGACGTCAGGACCAACAAACTCACGATTTCGTCACATGCCGCGCGCGTTCGACACCACGGGGCGCCCCCATAGAAGTAGGAGGTTTCCGCGTTGTCCGGTTGAAATATGACCCGCTGATATTTAGTTATTCTCCCTGCCTGCTAGGCTGCCCGCACCACAAGAGACGTGGAAACCTCAAAAAAGGTAGATGCTTAAATAGGACTGCACGGGTCCTTTAAGGTTGTTTTTACACCCTTAAGCTTACCCTTTAAATTAGCGACAACGAGGAGAACATAGCGCCACATTATTAGTTTTCATGGAATACACTTCATGGGAGAAAAAACAGCGACGCACGTTTATTGTTTGCTGGTGATATTTTGGCACACTGTGAACTTTGGGGATGCGTTGCACCACAGTTCTGACAACCACACGATTAGAATCTTTTTTCGAGGTTCGAAGTTTATTCTTTTTTGGGGGAAAGAGATAATGCGTAACACCATAAATTTGATTATTTTGTGTTATTTTTGAACCAGAGCATCTTTTTAACCAGATTTTGTAGCGTGAGAAGAATGTGTTTTGTTCTTCATAAGGTTGCATGCAAATAGTGCTATTGACTCGCCTCAGCTTCTCCGTAAGGTTAAATTACATGTCAATGTTCGCTATATCGAACATGCATGTTTTTATTTTATACATTTTCGCTGACCACGCAACATTTTACCACTTTCTCGGACCCGGTCGGTTTATAAAAGTGTCGCCACTCTAAATCTCGACATACCTGTATAGGTCTGTGAGTTTTGCCGCATCTTGAATTACCTGAATTTGACTAATTTTAATTTTTGCGTCTTGTTTTTCTATAAGGTTGTCTTGAGCGACGTAATATATATTATTGTTCCTTACTTATACTATTGCTGTGTAAGTGCACCGATCTAAAGACCACTGCGGTCGTTTTGGTTCACTGAACATATACATTTTTTTTCTTTCTCCCCAAGAACGTAACACATTAACTCGCTTCCTTTTGAGGAGAGAGAAGTGATCGGAAGAGACCGTATGATTTGCTGTTCCAATTGTAATATTGAAGTTAACTTGTTTCCAACACCCCAAGACTCTTCGGTAAGCTTTTCGGCATGTCACGTAATCACGTCGGATGAGGCTCTTTACCTATACTGTTCCTTGAAACACTCTGTGTCGTCTCGCCTCACTCTCAAACAAAGGGTGTATTCTCACACCCTTTGTCTCATATAAGACACCCCAAAACTTCAGTTCGACGAACAGCGCACTAACGTCGATCTGACTGTACACACTTTCATCAGAGGCTTGATAGCCGTGTGGTACAACTTAATAAAATAGCTAACGTACGTGTTACTGACTACAAAAAAAAATAATTGGGGCTTTCTTGGCGTAACTGCAAAAACTCAGTGTTTTTGTTTCTGTGGTCTGTGATAGGTATTTCAGCTATTGAATAAGTTATATCGCACCGTTATCAAGCCTCTTCTAAAATTTAGGACCGTCTGTTTGAATATAGTGCGCTGTACGTCGAACTGAAGTTTTGGGGTGCATTATATATAAAAAAGAGGTGTAAAGTGATACCCCTTTTTTTAGAGTGCTGTACCATCTCTAGATACCTGGTCAACGATTTTCGTTCTGAACCTTTGCAATCATATCACTACAAGAATACATCTGTTTGTGACTCGGAGTTCTAGGGAAGCACGTAGAGACGCACCTTAACATTGAAGTCGGTAACGACATCCTTGTTGAGGCAAGGCTGCACCATTCTTGTACGCATCTCACTGGGCGTCAAGCCGTCTAATCGCCTACCGTTGTTCCTTCTTCTAGTTATGTTGGCTATTTTCACGTTATAATCGCTCCACATTCTGATTGAAGAAGCTCGGCAGTATCCAATGCGTCAATCACCAGTGCCTATTTCTAGCACAGTGGTATATTCGGCATTCGCCCTCCAACACTCTAAAACAAAACGCCTGGTCAGCTGGTGCATCATCAGATACTGACTATGCACTGTCGGTCCTGGCAATAACATTTATAGGCAAAAGTAGCAAATACATCTGATCATGGCAAGCGTCTGAAATAGATCTGATCTTGCTGCCAGACGACTTGCGTGAATACTATGATCAGCCAGTCTCCGTAGTGCTCGTTCTGGACTGCTACCTTAGGGTTAAGGGCCAAGTGACGTTTCCGTTTTCATTGTGGGAGTACCATCTGCAACAATTCCATTTTTCACTTCCCCGTTGGGGCACGAACCGACCTGCATGCCATGTTCACGCCGTTTTATGCTTCAGGTTAGTTATTTGAGTAATTCCAAGTGGGGTCGATCTAATAAACTCTTTTCGTACAGCGCCGCGTGGCAACGTTTCTGTGTTACATTGATCCACTCCACTACGCCGCCGGTGTCCTCAAATGTGAATCCGAGGATTTTGATGGTCTCTGAGGGTTGGATACGTTTCCCATCTAGCGACAGAATGATCCTATAATTGACGCCCGCTATTGTTTGTTTTCTTGAGGCCACCACCGTATACGTGGTCTTTTCTGATGACGCTCAAAGACCAACCTCTTGAGATGGGAATCGACAACATCGAGTCAGCTCTGTAAGGTGGATTACTGCGTCGTTAGGTCTCCGTGGGCAGTCCAGATCGTCACGTCATCTGCGTACACTGTGAATTTCAGGTTGGGGATCTTGTGAAGGAGCTTCGGTAAATTGGCCATAGCTATGTTAAAGAGGACGGGTGATAGGACGGAGCCCTGCGGTACACCGACTCCGTTTCTCGCCGCTCCGTAGCGAATGGAGTATGTTCGGTTTTCGAGAAACGATTTAATAAAGTTGAGTGCCCGGCCGTGTACTCCCAACTTTATCGCCTCTCTGATGACTGAAGCATGGGGTACGGAATCGATTGCCTTTCGAACGTCGACTGCTACAATGGTCTTTGTATCTGTCTTGGACATATTTCTTGAAATAAGGAACAAGTTTTCCTGTGTACCCATGTTGGCTCGAAAGCCGGTTTGGGCAGGGTGGAAAGCTTTGGTGTTCATTTCCAGGTACCAGTTGAGCCTGTCGAGGACCATACGTTCCATGAGTTTACAAACACATGGCGTTAACGAGATGGGCCTGTGGTTGGCAAGGACTGTGTGATCTTGACCCGTTTTCGGGATTGGTATAACTATTGAATGTTTCCATTCGGTGGGAATCTCCCCACGTTCCCACACTTCGTTGATTTTTTCAAGGAGGGCCTCCTTCATTTCCTCCGGCAGGTTCCTGAGCATTTGTACTGTATCTTTGTCGTGACCGGGTGCTCTCCGCTGTTTGCCGCTTGTGAGGGCTGTTTGGAATTCGCCTTTAGTGAATGGTGAATCCATTCTGTCGTCAGGAGCCAGCATTTCACGTTCGTAGCATCCCGTGCCTTGGCAGTGGCTATGCTGCGGGGAAAAAAAGATTTCCGGCTTCTTTCGCTATTTCTTCTTCTGTCTTGTTCGCACAAAGCGCCATGGCCTGGGGAGCTTTTTTATTCTTCTTTTTGCCCATCATGGCTCTGCAGGTTGCCCATAACGCAGTTATGGACGTTTTCTCCGAGAGAGAGGCGCTGTAGTCTAGCCATCGTTGGCGCTCTAGTCGTTTCGCAATAATACCTGGCTTCGATCGTTATTCTGGTAACCTTTCTGCGGCCGTACACCGTTTTGGGTACCTTCCTGTACGCTTGAAGTGCTTGCAGCCGCTTTGCCCACAACCTTAGAAGATAGAGATCGGGTACCGGAATATCCTCGTCTACCTCCTTGATTATGGTGGCGATCTTGAGGGTGTCTGTGAGTGCTCTTCTGTACTCGTCCCAGTTAACTGTCCGCGTGACTCTTTTGTTATTCTCGCCCTTTCTTTTTTTAGTTAGTGACATCTCCACAAAAATCGGGAGGTGATCGCTGCCTCATGCGTCTGGACTGCATTTGTACTTTTGTAGTTTCACAAATTTGTTATTTGTCCATGTCAGATCCGGAGACGTATCCTGACGTTTAGGCCGCAGACCGGTTCGCGTGCGTCTTTACGCCTTCCTTTTTCATTGGCGTCATGCCGTGCTGCGTCATCTCCTCATAAAGTTCCTTGCCTGCCTTGGAACTCTTCCTGTAGCCCCACGCTACGTGCTGAAGGTTAAAATTCCCACAGTATAGCTTTTGATCTTTTGGATATGTCTCGTGCAGATGGGCAATCCAGCCATTCCAGAAATCCGAAGGTTTCGTTTTCCTGTTCAGTCTATAATAGGCCGACACTAGTATAATAGCCTTCTTTTCGATCTCTGTTCGTTATGCGACGACTTCTTGCTCGTCATTGCACCACCGAGAGATCGATTTGGTGATGTGGACAGGCATGGCTTATGAAGATCGTCGATTTTCCTGGTGCGCCTCCCTTCTTGTCCGTGATAGTGGGCGTTGAGCACACTGCGTATCTTCTGATACATGTAAGGGTCGTGTTAGTTTCCTGCATCAGCAGAACGTCCGGACGATCTTGTGATCTTGCATGAAACCGCGCGTTGAGCTCCGCCGCCCGAAGCTCGGCAATTCCATTGCACGACCTTGA